AAGGTGTGTGAGTGGTGCAAGTATGATAATCATGAGATGCGTGTCACGTGAGAACATCACTACATGCCACAGTCAAGGCGTCAATACATTTCGACGTGACGCGGTGCGCGTGCTTGCCAGCGTTCATTTCGTCGCGTCACGCAGGCGTTGCCACGCCAGGCGGCGGTCCTGCCATATATATATACTCGCAGGCGCGTACCGCGCTGCGTTGCTTGACGCATGCGCGTTTCAGCGCGTTCGGCATCCCTCCGTCACGAAAAGAGGGAGACGCAGAGTTGTCTGGGTAACGCATCGGCGCGAAATGCAGCATGTCGCACTTCGCACTGGTTGCCGTCGGGGCGCGCCGACGGACGCTGGTCGCGCCTGGCGTCAGACTATAGAGTGCTCGCGTTTTGCCAACGTAGCGTCGCTGTGCCCAGCATGCGCGCGCGTCAACGCTGACATTGGAGTATATTAAGCCCTTGATGATGCGCTCGCGGCCGTTTTGCTAGCTCCACTACCAAATGTGGTGTTGCGTGACGTCAATGGATGACGAAGTATACGACTGGTGCAAACATGATAATCCTGACACGCGTGTCATGTAAGAACATGACAATGTACCACGCTCATAGCGTGCTCGCGGCCGTTTCGCTAGCTCCACATACACTAAATTTGGCATCATGTGACGTGAAAAGATGACGAAGGTAAACGACACATCCAAACATGATAACCATGACATGGAAGTCATGTACAGCATCATTTACCTCCACCTCGTACTGTTATGCTGATTTTAAAGTGACATATATAAACATTTCTCATTCGTGCTTCGCATATCATCGATTTCCACTCTACGTGGGATCTGCCAATTTCTTTCAGCTATAGAGATTTTATTACGCTAACACAGACGGTAGATGGTTTTATTACGCGCCGCCGCGGTAGTCTATAAGGTACTCGATCGCCTGCTGGCCAGCAGGTCGTGGGGTCGAATCTCGGCTGCGTTTTCGATGGAGGCGGAAATGCTGTAGGCCCGTACGTGTGCTCAGACTTGGGTGCACGTTAAAGAATCCCAGGTGGTCAGAATTTCCGGAGCCTTCCACTACGGCGTCTTTTATAATCGTATGGTGGTTTTGGGACGTTAAGCCCTACATATCTATATATCTAACACAGACGGGAGTATTTTGGGGCGTCTTTCTAACAGACAGCGATAATCGTCACCTTGTATACTTCCTGGCGTTTTCTTTCTTCGAAACTGTGCGCTCGCGAAACTTCCCCATCAAGCAAACCATGCCACGCTGATAACCATTCGCCGTTCGTGACCTGGAATTACATGGTGCGCGGCGATAACGCAAGGAAATCTCACGAGATAAATTACGATTATTGATGGGTGGCGGCAAGACGTCCCAAGTACACGTCTTTTGTGTGTGTATTAAACTGCATTAAAAAAAAAAAAAGAGCACTTGGCGTATGTACATGAGGTTGCCATGTATTGTCCATCCTTAACTCTGACCCTGCTCGAGGGCTTGCCTTGTTTATCTTCCTTTTCTTTTCTAATAGAGAGTTTTAGTACTGCGTACGCTGCGTACGTGGCGGCGTTGCGTACGTAAGGACGCCACGTTCTGCGTAGTGCGCATGCGCAGACCGCAACGCGCACGTATCTCGTTACGTACGCACGCATGAGATGCGTGCGTGCGTATGAGCTGATCGCGCCGCTCTCGAACAAGTTCGCGACAGCGCGAGACTTCGATTTGCAAAATGGCGGCATCGAAGGCAAGCACCGACCGGCTCTGTGGCTTAAAATATGGCCATAATCTGGCTATAACACTTGGTTGGCTCATATTGGCTGTCAACAACACGTGCTTCCATTTTGATCTACCAGATGGCGCAACACGCTTCTCGCTCGTTACGTACGCGGTTACTACGGCGTACTAAAAGCCGATTAGTGGCGAACGACGCCACATAACGCAAGGCGCTTGCGTGATGCGTACGTAGCACCATTCCGCAGTACTAAAACTATCTAATATCAGTGAAGTAGCAGAGCAAACGTTGAATGCTTTGCGCGTATTGATGCCCCAGGGGAGCTGGGGCACGCAAGCGAAAGGATGACAACGGGCACGCAGAAAAAAGGGGTCGAACTGTCAAGCTTACATGTAGAGCATAACCCTCTTGCTTAAACAGTACACTTGAAAGATGCACCGTGCTAAATCCACCTCCGCGAGAGAAGCCACCGCTGCGACTGCAAGCGTTCTTCAGAGGGCGCAACGCCGCAATAAAGTGACTCGTCGCTCCATTCACGCTGATTTCCCCGGGGCACGTGGCGTCCTTCGCTTCCTTTGTCTCTGACCTCCATATTGAACGTGACGCGTTGGGGTTCTAACGTCACGTTTCTCTAGCAATTAACCTAGAACACCATCCCTACGACTCCTCGAGAATCGAGGCAACGAAGGTATATTGCTAAAAGTTTTAAGGACAACGGATTTTAACGAGCACGAGTAGACTGGTAGGGACGCGACAGGACTGTGACATGTGGCTGTGCATGCCTCTCAACTACCTTTTTTAGTTTTTATGTTACTTTTCAACCCCCCCAACCCTATGCCATTCTCCCTGCACAGAGTACACCATGCATCATACCGCTTATGCTATGGTGTAGTCAACATTCCTGCATTTCCCCTCGCTCTTCTTCATTCCGCACTACTTCTCGTAAGCCTCGGAGTGATCTCTGCCGAGTGGCTGGTATACCGTTAGTCCATGACCGGCAGAAAGGATCAAGTATCGAGTTAATCGCTGCCAAATACTACCTATATCGTCGCTAAGCCCCGCCGCGGTGGTCTAGTGGCTAAGGTACTCGGCTGCTGACCCGCAGGTCGCGGGTTCAAACCCGGCTGCGGCGGCTGCATTTCCGATGGAGGCGGAAATGTTGGAGGCCCGTGTGCTCAGATTTGGGTGCACGTTAAAGAACCCCAGGTGGTCTAAATTTCCGGAGCCCTCCACTACGGCGTCTCTCATAATCATATAGTGGTTTCGGGACGTTAAACCCCACATATCAATCAATCAATTATATCGTCGCTAAGTAGATTTATCGTTTTGCTCCGAGTATTTGGCACAAAGATTAGGCGGTGAATGTCATATCACGATGCTTATCATGATACAGAGAACGGGGGCCAAGAGCTCCTCAAGCTGCCCAGAGCCGCTTTTTTCTTGGTTCCTGCCTTTGTATAGGAAATTTCACAATTGAAATAAAGAGTGAATGAATGAATATCATGCCATTGTGTCACTGCTTGATACACCCCACAGGGGCCTCCGCGTGAACGCTGTAATGTAAATATTTTATTGGGAAGTTGGCTGCGTAATAAAACTACATCGGCGAAGCTCCACTGATTTGTTCACACAAGCAACGCTATGTGGAAGTGGGTGAACACCTTAAGTCGTAGTCAAAGGCGGTTTTCTGTGACACGACATGACAATCGCAATGTGCTTTCTTTACGGAACGTGACCTTCCCTCGTTGTGTCACCAAAGAGCGTTGAGCTGAGTTGCGAGATTTCAGTGGAGGTTGCGAGGGGGTTCAGTATAAGAGCTCCCATGACGATTCGATTTTTAACTTGCGCATTTGCCCTCGGCGGAGCAGGATGTCAATGGGACTAACCAGACGGGGGAACTAGTGACCAGTCTCCTTTTGAGCAGCCCTCGCTTGACGCAATAATTCGCACTGAATTCTGAGCTTGTGTCGACTGTCTGCTGGCCTACCACCGCAGTGAGACACTGTATCCACACCAATTGATATCGAGTCCAAACGTGCACATTAGTTAATTTTGCGGCCTATCTCGAAATGAAATTTCGCCTGATATGTCGCCGAACATTGCTGGATTTGTAAACTGCTTGTATGCAGCAGAAGTTCAAGCAAAGGTGGCAGATTGTACAGATGCAAAATTCTTGAACGCAGGATGTCGCTAGAACCTACGTTTGGACAAGTGGTCTTGGTCTCCTTCAAGGGCGGCCGCGACTGAAGAAGGTTAGAGCGACTGTCCAAACTTTGGCCCCAGCAACAACGTGTGTTCAAGAACTTCACATCGCTTTTGTAAGGCAGGATACTCTGAGCTCAGTAGGTACATAGTGCGTTCGTGGACGGCATCAAATGATTCCCCTTATTGTAAACAAACTGCTATGCGACAGCGTTTAAGTATGTAATGAAACGGATACCAAAGATCCTGTGGAGTCTCCGTTACTTGTTCTTACATGTCACACCCATAAGATGATTTTACGCGTATAACATCTTAGAGAGACGCTAAACCCCAACGTGAAAAAGAACGCGAGAAGAACATTTGCAGATGAAAGAAAAACTTATGAAAGGAAGTTCTGTTAGTGCTCTATTTCAAACATATTGTTAACAATTTGGAATGGTAGTTTAAAATGACATCTATCTATTCCTTACAAAATTGTTCAGTCACACTCCCCTCAAGAAGGTGGTCTAATTGGGAAAACACAATGCCACACGCAATGAACGACGTGTTGAGTTGTTTCGTTCGGAACTCACCGATTTATTCCAAATTCTATTAGTGACTGGAATGCGCTAAAAATACCAATATTCTCTGATTCTAAGTTCCTAACAGCCATTGAAACAGCATTTTGAGCTACTAAAATAACCCATATATTTAACGTTGGCTTTGTACTTCTCTTGGTTGTTGATTTTTATAAGAATAATTACTGCTTTCGTTGTATAATCCTGTGTTTTGTACTTTTGTTCTAATGCTGTACTACAAGTGTTAATTTCTCCTGTATACTGTAAGGCACGATTTATTTGCCTTTAATTTTGCTGTTTTGTATTCTATTTTCTACTGTAACCCCCCTACAACAATGCACAATGGGCGATGTAGGTACTTGCAATAAATAATAAATAAATATGTTGGCGCTTTGTGACGCTATAATGACCTATCATTCTGCAACACATACTGACTCTGTGTTGCTAGTAATCAGCGCGGCACCCGTGACATGGTTGGCAACAGAACACGCCTTGTACGCTGCTCACCTTATGCACGACGGGCAGGTAGCTCTTCTTAACCGGCTCATTCATGACTGGGTAACTCCAAGGGGCGGGCGGCTCGCCGTCCGCAAGCCTGTCAACACCGCACCGAGCAATGAATTTCGGCAAGCAGCGCGACTGATGTGGCGGCGGCGTGGATTCATGCGGTACTCGACGAATCGCACGTCCACAACTCGACTTGCGGCTCGGCGCGCGTCAGCAGCCGCTCTTTGTCGAACATCGCGCGCGCGACCGGCACGCGACGCTCCCTCTCCACTTGAGAGAGGAGGAGGCAGCCTGGCTCCGCCAATCGGGCCGCTCCGCTTGGTTTTTTGTTGTGTGCGCCCATGAAAGCGCCATCTGGTGACCCTCTCCCCGGATTTTGCCGCTTTTGCGATGCATACATGGTTCACGAAATTGGGAGGACACGGTACGAAGGTATACGATTGTGAACCAGCCGATTGTGTTCAGTTTCTTTCTTCTTGTTTTTTTTTTTCTAACTTTCGCCTTCGTTCCGATAAATCGCGCCCAGTAGATTGTTGCTGTTTTTTATTCGGCGCTGTCCCATGTTCTCGGCACCTGTGCTGGACTCGCGGGCTTATAAATGCGAAGCATTACTTTGCGTACTGCAAGCACTTTTGGTACCTATCTATCTATCTATCTATCTATCTATCTATCTATCTATCTATCTATCTATCTATCTATCTATCTATCTATCTATCTATCTATCTATCTATCTATCTATCTATCTACGTCTGATTGCTCTCATGATCAGCCAATTAACTTGGAGTGCACCAAAATTAGTTCGGGAGGGCATGATCGTTTCCCGAATACAACTCGCTGGTCATGACATGAATAATGTCACAATCTCGTCGGCTACGTCGTCAAACAATTCCCCAAAAAAAACAGTGCCACATATGCGGGGGCGGGTATGTGCCACAGATGATAGACATCTTATACTGTGACGTGGAAAATAACATTTGTCAGTCCGCAGCCACAACGCAGATCACCGACAACGTCCACTTCTTGACTATCAGTCTGAGGCACCTTTCTTGGGTATGCCCCACTATGCCCTCTTTCAGTGAGACGAAATCACGTAACAATATTTACCCAGGAACGGCGAGAACACACATGGGTAAACTTTCACGTTTCAGAGTTAAGAAAAAGCTCCCATCGACAGCTTTGACCGGGCGAATGCAAACGATAAATGTCAGTGTCCCAGCAGGAATCGAACCCAAACATTCTGCGTGGCAACGAACTGTTCTACCACAAAACCACGCCAGGCCTCGGATATACTCTTCAAGCAGACCCTAATGTTCGTGTAACGTCAATTGTGGTAGCAGTACTAGCTATAGAATTTTATAAACATCACATATATATACTCCTATGATAGAGCCATCATGTCGGGCTAATGTAAATCATATAGTTAGGCGCCATCCACTTGAGTTGATTTCTGTAGCAGTGTTGAGGCCTACATATACTCGCGAGCACCAGCGGAAACATCAGCGCTTTATATCAGCTTATCCTTTCTGGTGATGCTAATATCCATGTTGTAGTCGACATCGTTTCGCAAATGTAAACAACTGCTAACATGAAACATACGTGTCATTTTGGCATATATGTGTGCGTGGAATTTCACCTATATACTATAGCGCCAATTCACAACGCCTTGTTCGATTAAAAAAGAAATGTAAAACACATTCACCTTCCATCCGCATGCTCCGCATAGCATCGATTTGAGACGTCGATATGCCTCCGCTTGGCTCCGTGCCAAACAATGTCGCATAAGAAGTTCTTCGGTGGCTGCTTTGCATGACATTGATTCCTGAGATGGCGGCGGCTGCATTTTCGATGGAGGCGGAAATGTTGTAGGCCCGTGTGCTCAAATTTGGGTGCACGTTCAAGAACCCCAGGTGGTCGAAATTTCCGGAGCCCTCCACTACGGCGTCTCTCGTAATCCTATGGTTGTTTTGGGACGTTAAACCCCACAAATCAATGAATCAATCAATTCCTGAGATGAGTCAGATGTGCCTGATTGCCGTTTTAGCCCGTTCTCTTTGATTTTGTCTTTTTGGTCTCTAAGTTGGCCACCAATCGGTCACACAACAAATTGTAGTTATCAGCCAGTCATAGAAGTGTAGGGGCTCTATTTTGCATCTGCACTTACGTAAGGTACCCTGAAAAATATTATTTCAGTGCAAAACAAGCCACCCCGCTCACCGCGTGCAACGGTCGTTTTGCCGTGGCACGTGTGACGTTATGTGCTGCATGGAACTAACCATCGTCTTCTACTGAAATTTTCAGCTGCTGCGAATTATTCGGTTTCAGTGCCAAGCTAAAGGACGCTTAAATATTTGAGTGCAACGCGCAGCTCAACACGGAACAATATCGTTCAATGGAACGCAGACGCTCGCGCGCGTGTTTCTTCGTGGCTCACGTGTGCTTAAGTGTTGTCTGTCTCTAAGTTAGCACACGCATTTATAAAAATAATATATTTATATATTAAGGGTACTACCAAATGCATGAGAACAATAGTATACGTCAGCGTATATAGATGAACGTGCAAGGATAAACCCACTTAACATACATTATCATCGAAAATTAGATTTGTGGGGTTCAACGTCCCAAAACCACCATATGATTATGAGAGACGCCGTAGTGGAGGGCTCCGGAAATTTTGACCTCCTGGGGTTCTTTACCGTGCACCCAAATCTGAGTACACGGGCCTACAACATTTCCGCCTCCACCGGAAATGCAGCCGCCGCAGCCAGGATTTGAACCCGCGACCTGCGGGCAGCAGCCTAGTACCTTCGCCACTAGACCACCGCGGCGGGGCATTATGATCGAAAATTGGGTGGCTATTTCTAATAAACTGAGAAAACGTTTGTGATGTGCGGGGCAGTGTATACTGCATAGAGGACGCCAATAATCGTCACAAGCTGCATATTACGAAACTATAGTTCTCAGCATCAGAAAAGTTGGGTCTCAGGTTAGGAAAGTTGGGTAAGTTAGCTTTTTTCTCTTTCTTTCTTTCTTTTTTTCTTTATTTATTTCTTTATTTTTCTTTTTTTTTGTGCAACACTGATAAGATTTGCTATTTGCCTTTCAATATACAAGGTAAACATACTGCTTATGGTCCTCATGGTGTATGCCTCGCAACGAAAGTTGACGTATCACGGGATTTCCGAAAAGGCCTAATGGTCTGCAGGAACAAACTTTAGTTATAATTCGGCTGGTGGCAGCTTTTGTTACTTACGCAGTCATGATTTGAATTATGATTATGCGAAATAAGCACTAAAAAAGCAGAAATGTACACTTGCCATCAAGCCCATGCCCTTAAACATTTATGTATCACCTGCAGGGCGTATACGTGTCCATATATGGGAGTGTGCTTGTCTGAACGTGTGTGCTTGTTTGTTTGTTGCGTTACGTGTTTTATCGCTCATCCATTGCTGCTCCTGCTTGTCGTTTTGCGTTAATTCACTTGCGTGTATCGGCACCTTACGCCTTCGAGCCTCTTATTTCCGAGATTTCCCGGTAGTCGCTGGCATTCGTTCTCGCACGCGTCGACAACAGCCAAAAGTCTGGGGACACTATTCCTTCAAGTTCTCGTGAGAATACATTGCAGCAGAAAGCGACAATAACACTGTTGAAATTCCTATGCGACACGGACTTGAACAAGCGGCTGTAACAGCAATGCCACACACCACAAAAGACAAGACTGGACTATGACTGAGTGTGTGCTGCCTAATGTGCTGTGTTTATCTTTCTTCCCTCTTTCCTATCCATCTTTCATCTACCTCATCCCCCTCCCATGCGCAGGGTCGCAAACCGGCTGCCTATAGGCTAGTTAACCTCCCTGCCGTTCTTTTACTCCTATTTTCCTTCCTGCCCGGTAGGGGCCCTTTTCTTTTAAGACCGAGCAACGCCGCTTCTGCAGATACTCTCAATAAATATTCAGAGGTACGCAGTCCCTACAAAAGCAAAAAAAAAAAAAAAGATAAATACACGCCCATTGGCTCTCATATTGGCTCTGTTAGAATGAATATACGTCATACTCGGGATTACACGCTGTAGTCGGCGCTCTCTTGGCTCTCAAGTCTAGCGCGAACAAGCACCAGGCATGGCAAATGAAAAATATCAACAACAAATAAGAGACACGAATGCCTATAAGTCGCGCAGTCTCCCAAGAATGCGGCGGCGACTCCCTTCATATCACATCGTCATGAAGGGAGTTTTTAACAAACACCTCCCCACCAAGAACGTATGCGAGCGTCTGGTATCTTAATAAACGTCTTAATAAGACACCAGACGCTCGCATACGTTCATTCTGCGGAGGAGTTGGTTAAGAACGCGGGGGTGACGACAGAACCTCATTTTGCCGCTATATAGCTGACATCAGAAGGTACATCTCAGCCGCTTCGTTGAAAACTTCTGGACTATTTATTCCCTTTCCTTTACTTTAGGGTTCTGGTCCAATGTTAATGCGTTATGGTTAAATATTGCAGGAACTGCGACCCAATTAAGCTCCTTCGTGCCATCGAGGCGTACATATATAGAGCCTTGTAATTTCAAGAACCATTGCATGATCTGTAAAGGCACCTTACTGTGCCCGCTCAGTTGTTTTTATTTATTTATTTATTAATTAATTCATTCATTTATTTATTCATAGCAAATATAAAAGTTCTTTTTTATTATATATAAGGAGATGTTAGCGCACAATTATGGTGCCGGCTACTTCTTAGCCCTTGAGTGAAACTTGAACACGTATCTTAAAGTAAAGCATGCAAAAGCAGAGAATGGGAAATAGAACACTGGGGCACAGATATGCAAAGATACTTATACGCACATATCACAACGAAATGGTAAGGTAATGTTCGAAAGTCAAAGAATTAAGTCTCTGATAATGTCCCTGGTTAATATTAGGTCCAACCAGCACAAAATGTTCGGTCCAACCAGCACAAGACAACAGAGCACACGCCTGGTTCTTGTGAAGATGTATTCCCTCGTGTGTATACATAATAGTCGACACGTCATTCACTTCAGTACACACATATATGATGGGTGGCACGTGATACTGCACCTAATAAGTACACGTGTTATACAAATGAAAGTTCGCTTCTTGATGGTTTGCTGTAGAGAGGTTAACGTTTGTACACATTCTCGGC